AATAATAATAAAAAAAAACTAAGAATGGGAACAGAATGGAAAGTTCCAAAAAAGGAAAGGAGACACAAGAGTTTAACACAGCTTTACTGGTTTCTTTCCTTACCCTGTTTCTGGTTAAATTGTGACTCCTGTTGTATGAGAACATGTACAGTCCAGATGTTTGTTAACTGAAATGATATTTCTCTTTTCTGAGTTGATACATTTACTGTTCTCAGCTTTTTGTAGGTTATAAGTAATGTTCAAATTGAAAGTTAATGGCAAAAAATGTTGAGTCTAAACTCCTTTAGCTTAAGGCCTTGTCCGTGCTACAACCAGTGTGAAGGCCAGTTAATATTATGCCTGGTTCTAAACACAGTTAAATTGAGACACTGTGGCATCTAACAGTGTTTTAGCCATGCCAGAGGCTAATGACATCTCCGTGTTGCTTTCTTCTAACCAGTTCAGGACATTGTGGACAGGGATCTTTAACTGTTCCTGGGTACCAGCTGACTGGCTTGTCTATCTACCGCTCTCCCAAATATCTGTGTGGTAGTCCATCCCAATATGCCTTACCCCATACACAGCACTGCTATTCTGTGTGCAGTCCCGTGGGCATTCTATCTCCTGTTGAGGTACTAGATAGATCCAGAAGAATCCCTTCAGAGAAATTCGGAGTCCTTCCACCATTGAAGGGGGATGACTGGTGCTGTAGTTAGAATGATTTGGCCCATTTCTTCCCAGATAAATCCCACTCTGATGTGCCTTGTGATGGGTTTGGGCCCTTTGGGATGTCACCTGATTTGCTGGGATGCCATGGAGTCAGACTATTCTGCCAGCCAGAGTCTCCTTTACCTGGCCTTGCTGGGTTAGGCTCACAAGCTTTTCCAGACAAGCACATAGGCAGGACCGCACCCAGCTGCACAGAGAGACAGAGATCCACTCTGGATAGGTTCAGCCTTAGGGGCTCGCCACAACACTCTGGTGCCCACTCCCTTTAAGGGGTACAAACCCAGAGGTTTTATGAAATTTGCCCTCTCCCTCAATGAGGAGGGCGATAAGCACACCTTCTTGCCCGTACCAATTAGAAATTACATAAACTGGGTTATATTATAAACAAGAAATACATTTATTAACTATGAAAGGTGAATTTTAAGTGAATACAAGAGAGAACAGACAGAACAAAGCAGATTACTGACCAAATAAAGCAAAACGCGCAAGCTAAGCTCAATATACTTAAGAAACAGGTTACCAAATGTAAATTCTCACCCTAAATGTTATTTTAGGCAGATTGCAAAGTTTCTGTGGTTCAGAGTTCCAGTTATATTCCTTTTCAGACTGAACCCCTGACTCAGTCTGGACTCCCCCCTTGCCTTCCCTTTAGGTGGCTTTAGCAGTCTTTCTTCTTGGGCAGACAGGCCATGGAGAGGAGTCCCCTCGTTTGCCTTCCTCCCCTTCCTTAAATAGGATTTACATAAGGCGGAAATCCTTTGTTTCCCAAACTTGACCCCCCCCACCCTCCTCCAGTGGAAAGTTACAAGTCCTCCCAGGTAATGTTTAGTATCGGTGACAAGATCACCTGACTCTGTAGTATCACAGCATCCATGAGTCAGTGGCAGCATAGAGTGTCTGCAGAAAGGCCAACCCTTTTCACAGGCCATTGTCCTCGCTGATGGGTCATCAGCCCTGTCTGGCTTTTCCATTGTTGTATCTGAAGTTTTAGCAGTGGGCGTCACCAAAAGTAGCATAGTTGAAATACAGATACATAGTCAATATTCCTAATTTCAGATATAGAAGTAATACAGGCATACAAATTGGATAATCACATTCAGTAAATTATAACCTTTCCAATGATATCTTACAAGACCTATCTTGCATAAAAGTACATCTCAGTTATGTCATATTCATATCATAAGCATATTTTCATAAAGAATATGGAGTGAAATGTCACATGCCTCTTCAACTCTGCATTTGAACAACATATTAGGTAGGCCTCCCCCTCTGGTTAGAAGTCATTGTGACATGACCAAGCAGAGGCTTCTCATACTCCTTTTAATGAAGGCAAGAGGTTTTTTGGGAGGTCTTCAATCCATTTCTTCAAGTCCTCCATGTTGAGAAGAGCAGCATTCTATCACCTAATATGACTTACTGGTTATTAGTCATTAGCAGGAATGGTCACATCCAAGGAAATCATACCAAGAAGTTGGAATCCAAGCAGAGGTTAGCCAATGCCTTTTTCATCTACTAGTGATCCCCAAATGACTCCAAAGCCTGCAGCCAGATGGTTAGCATCTTAGAGCATAAAGGCCATGGATGCAACCCACAATCATCTCTTGAACTGCCTGTCAGAAGAGTCTGAGGAAAAACACCTCCCTCAACATTGAGTACCAGTGTCTTCACTGAAAAGGGAACTGCTGTGCCTGGGAAAGGGAGAGGACACAGGTCTTGCACCATCTCTCAGACATGCAGTAAAAAGTAGCGTATCGCCTTTGCGCAGAGTGAGAATGTGGCTTGTCTGAGGATGCTGATTATGCCCCCTGTGGAAGGGGAAAGAGTTTTTTTCTGTACGTCTCATGGGCTTTCAGATCTCCGGATTCTTCCCATAACACAATCCTGGATTGTGTTCTCAAGTCAGGGGAAGATGCTTTCCTCTGTACATAGAGCTCAGAGAGCTTCCTGGAAGACCAAGGTACCAGATTGCCAAACAGTGGCCTTCCCACTGTTCTGAGCTCAATCTGTGTGGAGTTTTGGGAGGAATACAGGAGACCTGATCATTTCCTGTAATGTAGTCTCTTCAATAGCAATTGAGGAGGTCCATATCAAGATAAGAGGGCTAAGCTGCACATCTGTGCCCTTTGTGGTGTCTCTGTGCACACCCCTTCTGGTCTTAGACCTTGTGTCTTTACCTCTCCTGGGGTGGAATCCTGGGATTCTCCCATTCTTAGACCGGACCCTGGGCTACAGTACCCTGGTGGCTCAACTGTGTTTACCCAGCAGCCTTGCTGGGTTTGGCACCTGTGATTCTTTCCTTTTGGAGTCTGTGACCAGTGGTATAGAGAGATCAGACAGCCTTCTTAACATCAAGTATTGTTTATTTTTACATAAGGAATAAAGCATTTAGGGACAAGGAGTTTAAAAACAAACATTCTACATGCAAGTCCATCTTACCTGAAGGCCTGCCAACCTGTAATGAGGATCTAGTCAAGCCTAGCTTCTTCAAACATCCCAGCGGGTGCCTGTCTTAGTCTGGTGTCTCTGAATTGTTCCTCTCTCGAGTCCCTTTGCTCATGTCAGTTCCCAGGTTTTTGCCATGCTTGTGCAATCAGTTTGGTAGGCTCTGCAGGTCAAGCCACACTTCACAGAGCTATTGGCTCTGGTATTGTCCCATAACAATGCTCAAGGGTTTATTGAAGAATGTCTTATCTTGAGCAACTACACTCCACTATGCTCTCACCCAAGTCAGAATCTTGACTCCCAGAGCCTCCTATGTGGTATGGACTACTTGCCCAGCATCAGCCTGAGCAGCAGCACTTCTTGTAGGGCCCCCCTTTCTGCCCCAATTGAAGATGTATGATCAGTGGTGCAGAAAAGGCCTACCAGAAAATGGACCAGGCCCACTCACCACTCTAACCCATGTTTTCCCCCCACTATCGCAGTAATCTGCGATTGGACTTCTTGTCTCACCCTGAATTAGCAGATGACTGGAGAGGAGAGAAGAGGGACTACTAGTAAGAGGGCTTCATCAGGGCACAAAATCCTAGCAACCAGCTAGGCATTGGAGCTACCTACAGCAATGTAAACAAGGATCAGCAACCCACATTCCACATTTTGGGGATCCAGTGATATTAACCAAAAACTCATCTTGAATAGAATCCCACTGAGTTACAGCCTTACACTGAACTGGGGATACAGTCCCCATTAAATAACTTAATTCTGTCTTTTAGCTGTTTGTTTTAAAGGGATGTGACTGACTCCAATAAAAAAATGCAGTATATAAAATACAAGACCACTCCACTGTAATTAAGAGATTGTAAGTGCCCATGTCAGCAGAGTACATTCTAATAATAAAACAGAGGCTTTCGGAATACAGAGGGCTTGTCCAATGGTCTAAGATGGATCCAGATGTTATCAGGGTTTTAGCATGATAATCTGCAGGATTTTGGAAAACATTACGAGTTTTTAAAAGTAAGAGTTTAAACCCATTTTCATAGCTGCATCGGTTACTTGTGTCAGATCTGCCAGTACTAGGAAGTCAAATGAAAAACCAAGAGTGACAACAGGAGGCAAATCTCTCTCCCTTTTTCTCTTTTGCTTTAAAAGCATTGTTATCAACGGGGTAGAATTAAATGAAATCTCACAGACTGGCATCAAGAAGCTTACTGACCTCAATCCCAGCTAGCTAAACCTTTACAAATGTTCTTGTTCTTGGCATCTAATATACAACATACATGAATTTGGCTGACGTTACAAAACTGTGAATCTGGCACGATTAAATCAATCGGTACATCGTTTAAAGACAGCTTTACTTCCCTCCACACTCCAGTTTGACAGTAGCAGGTTTTACATAACAAGGTACTACAAGTCCTCAGAGTTTGCCCTCAAACAGTGCACACCATATACCCAATTCATTCCAGAGAGCTATTAGTTTCTAAAACCACCAAAAAGACATTTTAAAAAGCCTTCAAATTTTTAAGTGGGTAGAAAATTGTTTGGGCAGTCCTAACCACCACCCTATTTCAATTTAAAGAATTGCACTTAGTGGGTTCACTGTTAAGGCAAGGACAACAATGGAAAAAAGGAAACATTTCAGAAGGCCACAGTAGCATAAACTGCTCTATTTAAATGACACATCAGGGAGCACTCAATTTAACATAGATGCTATCAGCTTCCCCACATTACTAGCCACCAGTAAAATCAGTATGAAGTTACAAATAGTTTTAAATAACTAAAAATCTCTCCAAGGAGCAAGTAACTATGCTCACCTGTTAACCAGCTATAAGGAGAACAAAACAATTCACTGTTACCTGTATTCAAATCAATTTGATTACAGTCCGTCCTCCATTCATTCACTGGCTCAGTGCTGGGCTCCCCTTTTCGGGTCAACATCTTAGAAAAGCCACTTGAAAGCGTAGAGAAGATATCATGGATGAAATATCCCTGTTGCTCACAATCTACTGAGCGCACTGGTTGCAGAAATGGCTTTACACTTCTATTTCTCCAGTGTGGGGCAGGCTCAGACATAGACCTGCTGAATGGAACTCGAAATGGTATACTATCTGCCTGGCTCATCTTCCTTGCTGGGTCTTCCTGGAGATCATCAGCACCACTACTGTCCATCCTCAAAGGGCATTCAATAGGACTTAGCTGATTATGTTTCCATTTAAGACTGTGAGACAACTCTCTCTTGCTCCCCTTCCAGTGAAACCTGGGATGCGTCTGCCATCTGTATGCACCAAGTGACTTTCCTAGGTCTGAAATTGCTTGTTCATGTGTCCTCTTACTCTTCATTTGGTAGTACCATTGATATTCCTTCAAATTAGCCGCAACTTTTGTACTTCCACTCCCCTGTTCCGACAATGATCGTCTAAAGGCTGCAGCAGAGGGACGGTACTGCTTTTTAAACACACTCATTTTTCACCATTCAGCTTTCAGTTTCTTTAACTTACACTTCCTTTTGCTTTACCAATCATACAGCTACAGTTCACATTCGTCAGTACTCAAAAGCATTTTAATGCTTGAGCTGCTTTCTTCAGTAGTGTGGCTACGAATGACAGTAGATGTTCTTCCTGATGAGCTGGAATCAATCGGGTGTCATTTAGATATAGAATTTCACACCATCACTTATTACTCCATATTTCTGCATCTCAGTAGAGTCTTCAACATACAGGAACCCTCGCCTACAGCAAATTGTTCTCCTTCTGAAGATGAATTCAGCTCTGCGAAGTCAGTTGTCACTTCCTGCGCTTTCAGGTTTCTGCACCAAACTTTCAGGAAATGACTAAAAAACCACCAGTCTTGAAAACCCACAATGGGGTTCTGAGCCAATCGTAATTTACTTTTTCACTTTGCAACAACAGTGGGTTAATAAGAGAATGTGGAATTACCTTAACTTAAAGCCACACATTCATGCAGCATGAAGTCGCAGTAAAAAAATACCAACTCCCCCCCCCCTCCAAATCTAAATTAGCAGTCATCCTTCTTATGTTCAGGACCTGAGAAGTTGGGTACATTAAGTGATAGCTTAAAGCAACATTTAATGCAGAAGAGCAATTCCTGAATAAGTCTGTTCAGTGTATATTTACCATACATATCTTGTCAAACAAAGTATCTCAAAATTCCTTTAGAGAGGCAAAGAGATTCATAAGACTTGGGTGCTGCAAACCTCAGACAGCAAGGCAAAAGCGATGTTATATGGATCAGTGGGAGTAAATGAAAGAAAGCTGTAATTTAAAGTAGCAATAATGTAAATATACTGAAGGGAAATATGCATAGGGGAGGAGGAAAGAAGAGAGAAGGTGGGTGGGATTTAGTCAATCATAAACCAAAGTTAAGAAAGGGAAAGTTTTGAGGCAAGCTCTTGTGGCAAATGGAATATGCTTCTCCCCCGCCCCCCCCCCTTAATAGGGAGTAGAGTTTTGCTTTTATAAATCTAATTGGAATAAGTGGATTGGAAAAAATATTCCTATCTGTTTAACCAAAGAATTTTTTTTTGCCCTCTCTACAGTTTAAGAAACAGCTGACTATTTTAAATTTGTTAAAGAAAATATCTGCTGCTGAACTCCTATCTCCTATGCCAAGTTTCAGACCAGAGCAAGATTTTTTAAAAAATAGTCTATTCATAAACCCCTGAAAATAGGAGGTTTATAATGGAAATATTGACAGACGCTTGACTAATGTTACAACAGCGACAATCAAAAAGACTTTTCTGGTAATATAAAAGGATAATCTGGCTTGGCAGACCAATAAAATTGTCCGTCCCACTACAGAACCTTTGCTTTGAGCTAGAGCTCTTTCATCAGCCAATGTACATCCCTGATAACTACAGCAGGCAAACATTGTGAATTGCTCCAGCAATTCCATTCTGAATCAACATGGAATGGGTCTGTAAAGATATCCAACTCACCACGACCAATTCCCTTTAAAAAAAATCTTGTGTTTTTTGGCATGTAAGATATAGAAAGATAGTGGCTGTGTTTACTTTAAAGTGGCCAAGTTTATGAGTAATAAAGAAAATCTGAAAAATAATCCTTGGATACAGAATACGGATTGAAAAATGTATTATGTTGAGTCCTGTGTTTTGTAAAAACCACGTTACTCTCTGGAACAGATGAGTAAATTAATTCACTATGAAAGAAACAAGCCAATGGGCAAGAGCGTCACAGACACTGCCAAGGAGACAAGATACATCTAATGCATACGTGCCTACAATCAAGCACTGGCCAGAGGCTCAGGCTCTTGGGGGATTTCTCAGGTCATCTCCAAAATCTCAGTACTCCTGATGATGCAGTGGCTGTGGGTACACTCCAAGAGCTGCAAGCACTGCAACTACTCAAGCGATATTGAATAGACTTGGAGAGAAAGCTGGATCATGCCCAGGCAGGCCAGAAAAGGGAGTTCATGGGCTTCAAAGTTGTCCAGATTCATTTATAAGCAAGGAATATTTTACAAACAAGTTTGCATTCAACATTTCCCATCTCTATCCTCATCCCCTTGGGAGACAGGAAAACCAGAGGACTACGAGTAAGTCAGAAGACAAGAAAGTCTCCTGCTTTCCGGTTTCTTACTGTATGGTTCAACACCTTCATTGAGAGACCAGAAAAACAGCAAATGGAAGAAAGTTCTAGGATTCAGAGAATTTCACCCCCCTATTCTCCAGTATGATTTTAAATAATCAAATAAAAGCTTTATGTTGTCAGAAAAAGCTCCCATCGGCAGATCATACTCAGAGTGCATGATACTATTTGTATCTGGGCATTTCTAGTTCACCAGTCACTGTGCCAGCTGACTTGGTCTCACAGGGCTTGGGCTAAAGGGCTGTTTAATTGCCGTATAGATGTTCAAGCTCAGACTGGAGCAGAGGCTGTGGGACCCCACAAGTGGAGAGGATCTCAGAGCCCAGGCTCCAATCAGAGCATCTACACTGCAATTAAACTGCCCCATAGCCCAAGCCCAAATCAGCTTACACGGGCCAGCCATGGGTCTTTAATTGCAGTATGTAGACATATTCTGAATATCTAGGCACCAACATTTGTGTTCCCAGTACCTTCCAAATGTTGCTTTTCCCAGATCAATCGTTTCCTGGGTTGAACATTCACCATACACACAAACTGAAGTATACCATAAACAGAAATGTCTTGCAGGTATATGGCAAGGAAAAAAACAGAGCAGCTATTTGGACATTTTCCTTCATTTGTAACTTTGTAATTTCTTCAGAAAAATGCACCTGATGAACTAGATCCTCGACTACACCATAGCTCTGCTCAGTGCAGCTGACAGAGAGAGAGAGAGAGAGAGAGAGAGAGAGAGAGTGTAACGAGAGCTATATATAGACTTAGAGTTTGGTTTATGTGTTATTATTTTGACAAAAACTATCAATGTTTGTTTAAGATTTTTTTTATTTTTACTGATTCACATTTTCACAGTTGAAGAAATTATGGAGGTCAGACAATAATTATTTAATGACTGTAGATGCAGAGATCCAAAAAGTTAAAATTTTATAATTGTTAAAACACAAATTGTCAGCATCACACATCACAACATACCAAGCAAATATCCTTAAATCAAACTATAATAAGTTCTCAAGCAGCATTTTTCTTACTTTATCTACCTGTAAATTCCAATTATTATTGGTGGAAATATTTTTTCATTGGTTTGTGTGCATGTTCAGAGTGAAATCAGTGTTTACTGACCTGAACTGATAAAAACCTAATGCTTCCAAGTCTAGCTATATACCACCTTCACTCTTCCCTAATCCCAGGGGCTGCTGAGGAGCCAGTTCAGTCCATGCCATGGTTCACAGCAGCTTCAGGCTTTCTTAAACTATGTAGACTTGTAGTGATTTTCAAGGAGACATGACTGGAACATGCTGAAGGAATCTTCAGCCGTCTAGTTAGGGCAGTTTTACAACCCCTTTGCACTGCCAAAGCTACAGAATCTGGTCCAGTGTCTGATTGACGGGAGGACGTTTTATTTTCCCCTTTCCAAAGCCACATATTGTGATTTAGTGTGTTTAGTGGTTATAGCAGGACAGGCAAAAGAAATTTGCCTTACCCTTGAGTAGACAAGTTAGAGGAGTTTAAATAATGTGTCATAACATACATAATGTATTCTATGTTTATTTCAATCAAAAGGGGAAGAGCTCTCCACATTTCAGAACAGATTATTAAAGATCTCACAGGTCACCTGTAAGGTGAGCCTGCTTTGCCTTAAGAGTGACACCACTAAAAGTTTAGCAAGGAAGTGTGTGCAACATGGATTATTGATGGAAAAGTAAATTAACCTGCCCTTGTCAAAACTTAGTGTCATATTTGTGACAGCAATTAAGGCAAGTGTGATTTTTTAAAAAATCCAGCTAAGACCTCTTTCTCCTTCCATGACTGGTTAATTTTCAGATTCTTGAGGAGATTTCACTCTGTCAGCTCTTCTCATGTCACACAATTTTGCTATTCTGATCAGGGGATGCAGAAGTTTAAAAAAATATTTCATTCTGGCTAGGGAACTGGACATTTCTGTATTTTTAAAGCAAAAACAATTTTTATCTTTTTTTGGATTGGTAAAACCATTCCGTCTTATTTTTTTCCCCCACCATAAAGCAGCAAAGAATAGCACAACCCCAATTTTTCCTCCCTTTTTCAGTTTCCTTCTAAGAAGAGGGTAGGTCCAGCCAAAAGGAGCTTAGAGCCACAAACAACTCATTCTGATCAAGGACAGAGAATCACGTACGGTCAGTCAGAAGAGTCATGGAACTCCAGCAACCCAGAAGTACAGTACTTACAGCAGTGTTTCTCAATATTCTTCTGATGGAGCTCCCCTTTCTAATGAGCTGGCAGATGACTCGCACACCTGCTTCCACCTATGTCTACTCATGCCTTATTCGGAACACTTTCCTCTTTCTTTGCAGTCCATTTACTCTCTCATTCTTAAGTGCCTTGGACCTTTCTCTTCTCTAATTTTTTCTTTGCCAATTCTAACCATTCCTCAGTTTTGCAGTTCTCCCTTCCTGTTCCCACTTCAGCAGGAAGCTATATGCTGCTTAGAGTGGAGGCATCTGTTGGTGGTTCCACATGTCCAGGTTAGTTGTGCTCTTGCTATTTAGCTTATTATCACAGGAGCAGTGAAAAGTGAGGTCTGAACCACTGGCTGCTGCCTGCACCAAGAGCCCTGTGGCTAGCTTCATTATGAACGATAGTGGAAACAGGGAAGGAAGGCAGGTTGCTTTCAAGCAGCACTCCAGCTTCACTTTCAGCCTCAAGGGAACATTAATTATGGCATTTTCTCACCTGTCAGGTAGTTTCTCTTCCCTGTACGCCACCGGCTGGAGACCTCTGTCTTACCAGGTAGAGCTAAAGAGCTGTAGCCCTTTCTTTACAGAATGCATTACCTTGGAGCAAAGGGTTGAACATTGTTTGGAGACAATTATGGCTTCA